CCTAAGCCCTAAACTCTAAACCTTAAACCCTAAACCCTAAACCCTAAGCCTTAAGCCCTAAACCCTAAACCCCAAAGCCCAAAGCCCGAAACGGCCATAGTACGCTGCGCAGGCTATGTCCGATCACGGGGCTCGAAGGCAGACGCAGAGTTCGGCTAGGGTTTAGGGTTTAGGGTTTAGGGTTTAGGGGAATAGGGTTTAGGGTTTAGGGTTTATGGGGTTTAGGGTTTAGGGTTTGGGCTTATAGGGTTCCTTAAGATTGTGGATGCTTTTTCGATGGGAGGGGGCCTGAGGCCGGGGCTTAAGAGTCCTTTTGCATTCACGGGTTCTATTGCTTGGTGCTTAACCCTAAACCCTAAACCCTAAACCCTAAACCCTAAACCCTAAACCCTAAACCCTAAACCGTCTCCCTGAGTTTTGTTAAGCGTGCTGTCTCCGTACTCGGTTTCCTGAAAGCAAATTCGGTCACTCGGCATATGTCCACTGCATATGTTTCAATTTCAGGCTTTGAAGTTTGTTGAGCTTGAGGCAACCTAGGCCTTCATGGGCCCCTAAACCCTAAACCCTAAAGGCCCTAAACCCTAAACCCTAAACCCTAAAACCTAAGCCTTAAACCCAAACCCTAAGCCCTAACCCCTAAACCGTCTGAGAATCCGGGTGTCAGGGTCGGCCGAGGGTTTGGAGGCTGTTTGTGGCTTGGGGTCAGCGCCTCTCTGGGACGTGGGGCGCGAACAGACGTTCTGGGCTCAGAGTCCTGAAGTTTAGGGTTTAGGGTTTATAGGGGTTTGTGGGGGTTTAGGGTTTAGGGTTTAGGGTTTATAGGGGTTTAGGGTTTAGGGTTTATAGGGGTTTGTGGGGGGTTAGGGTTTAGGGTTTAGAGGAGTTTATGGGGGTTTAGGGTTTAGGGTTTATGGGGGTTTGTGGGGGTTTGTGGGGGTTTAGGGTTTAGGGTTTATAGGGGTTTGCGGGGGTTTAGGGTTTAGGGTTTATGGGGGTTTGTGGTTTAGGGTTTCTAGGTTTTATGGGGGTTTAGGGTTTAGGGTTTCAGGCTTCGATTGGCAGGCTGGGGGATGTGCCACTTATCTCTGCAAGCGCTGGAGTCTGGGCCCGACACCCTCAATGACCCTGGACCAAAATCCTACACCCTGGATGAGCCTTAGCCACAAATCGTACATCGGGAAGGCTAAACCCAATCTAGAGCACAAGGTTCAGCTGAAGGCCAATGGGATATGGACACTACGCCCTCAAGAGTTGGTTTCGGAACGCAGGCCTTGTCTGGTCTAACACCCCCCCCCCTCCATTTTCCATGGCAGCAGGCGGAATCCGCGAGTTTCTAGATTTCAGGTTTCAGCATTTCCAAGAAGGATCGCTATGTTTAGAAACCATCCCACAACCTCAACCCCATCAGCTTCCGGGAAATCGACTCTAGCGACATGCACCATGGCTCTAAACCCTAAACCCTAAACCTGTTCCAGGCATCTGCCCCATGGCCAGAAAGCCGGTGTTGGGCGAGGGGGAGAAGCCACCAGAGCTCAAGGCGGAGAAGGGTTTAGCGGTTTCTGGTAGAGGGTTAGGATTTACGGTTTAGGGTTTAGGGTTTAGGGTTTGGGGTTTAGGGTTTAGGGTTTAGGGTTTAGGGGTAGGGGTTTGGGGGTTTCGGCCTTGGGTTGTTGAGGTTCTAGTTTTAGCGGGTTTGGGGCGTCCTGGGGGTTAGGTTGCAGGGTTTAGGATTGAATCGAAGCGTATCTTGTCTGGGCAGCCCCTCCGCGCACCCGCACCCGCCGCCGTTATCAAGCTGGGCGAGGGAGCTGAGCAGGCCCGGGTGCCGTAGGCAACAGCGAGTGCGAATCTCTGTCGAAATCTGCTCCGGCCACGAGTCTTTCGCCGGGATCATGCTGGCAGAGTTTGGCATGGCTCTGGTTGCCGAGCACGACTCTGTGCGAGCTTGGATTGCTGAGAGGTCCATCTACAATCTGCAAGTTGTTGGCAGCATTCTTGCGTGCACTGCGCAGACATCAGCCGATGTGGACAAGTTGGATCCTCAGCGCGTGCCGCGGGTCGTACGATCACAGGACGGAGCTCATAATTACTTAGTTTGGTCCGATGGTCGGTTCGCCACCGCCCACCTCCAAGGCATGTGTTCCTGACCATTCAGGAGAGAATTGCTGCCGCACGCGCGCGCGCGCGCGCTTGCTTTCAATCATTCTCTCGGTGCGGGCCATTTCTGTCAACATGCCTCACGGACACCGCAGCATGAAATTGATCACTGAGGCGATGCTGCACATTCTTGTTGCTTTGTTGCGACTTAATTAATCCTTAGGCCTTCGGGCCGCGGGTGATAGCGCTTTCTGACCGCACTCAGTCCTGGGCTCACTCCACTCCACTCCACTCCACTCCACTCCACTCCACTCCACTCCACTCCACTCCACTCCACTCCGCTTTTGCTTGATCCTTTGTCATTCCGGGCTTTTGTGTGATTGGGCAAATTGGTGGATTCATGAAATTCGGGGAGGCGGCTGAAACGTTGCCAAACTTTAGGAGGCTGTCTGGATCATTTCTGCTCGGGGCATTCTCCAGCGCGCTCAAATTGTATCGAGGTCAAAACCAGCAGTGGTCAGTCGTGACTTGTAAACAATGAGTTTTTCTTACGGTCCCCCCTAATTATATTGCTTGCTAGGCCCCAAAACCCTCCTCTTACTATTCAGGCCCTCATGGAAACCTATAGACTGTAAGCATAACTCCCTCAGGTTCGAGCTTTCGGGCTTCGGTGCTAAGAGTGTTTGCTGTCGACTTGCGGTGGAGTGCGAACTCGCACCCTTAATGCTGAGCAGCAGGGCCGGATCCCTAAAACCTGCGGAAACTCCCAAATTTCCCTACGTGCCTGCAAGCAACGCATGGACAACGACACAGGGTCATGTCAATCCTTAGCAGTGTGTTGACATTCCCGTTTGCAGCCTTGTAACACACTGCAGGTGCTCATGTTCATCATGTGGGAGGCACCAGCAGCACCGCTTGTGCTCATGTGTTTCCATGCATGTCAGTGTGTTGCAGATCCGTGCCACAAGCCCGCACGCCGATTTAAAGCAGAACCTCGGTACCATTAGCCCAAGTCTATCTTACATGAAGCCGAATCCCGAAGCTGGAGAGTCTTAACCACGGCTATGTTGGGACGTGGGTGTTGTGTTTCAGGCATTACGCATGGTCTATGGAGACTACTTGTCCTCGCCGCTTTTGTGAGGTTTGTGTTGCCATTCCCAAAGTTCACGACCTTAGCATGCATGAAAGCCGAATTTCGAGTTCGAGCGCTACTGTCACAAAGAGCCGTCGCGACAGTACGACTGCCAGCACCACTACTACTACTACTACTACTACTACTACTACTACTACTCCTGCTGCTGCTTCTGCTGCTGCTGCTGCTGCTACTGTACTGCTACTTCTACTTCTGCTTCTACTCTTACTTCTATTTCTACTTCTGTTACTACTTCTACTACAGCTACTACTACTGCTGCTACTACTACTACTACTACTACTACTACTACTACTACTACTACTACTACTACATACTACTACGACGACGACGACGACTGCGGCAGCAGCCAACAGACGACAAACGATAAACGACAACACTAAACAATCAACATCTAGCAGCAGACAGCAAACAGCACACAGCAAGCAACCAGCAACAAATCAAGAAGCAACAAGCAGCCACAACGACAAACCCAACCACGACGGCAGGAGGCTGAGTCCAAAGTGAGCGCCCTCGCCTCAGTGAGGCAGAGGTCGCAATCCCCATGTTTTTTACGGTCAGAAGCTTTCGGGCATTTACTTGAGCAGGGCATCTGAGGCATAAACAAAAGGGTGATAAGCATCCCTGGTAGATTTTGCGAGTTGTTTAGCGACCCTGCCTTGGGTTAGGTGTTTTTCGACCCGGGACCTAGAGCCCGAAACCCCAAGGCAATACCAGCTCTCGTCATCGCCATCATTTCTTGTAGTGGTGGTGTGAGCAGTAGCAGGAGCAGTAGTCGTCGGCGTCGCGGTGGTGGTGCAGCTGCGTTGTCATCGCCTGAAAATTGTCTGAGGGTGATGTCTGTTGAAAAGTGATCCCCCCGTTTCTTTGGCCACATGGGCATGACTTTGTCAAGAGCAGAGGCATCCGATATGCCCCAGGAACTCCTAACCCGAAGTCCAAGTTCTGATCCCTTGGCTAAATTCCAGTCCCCACGTCCCCGCATCTTGCCCATCCATAGCTTCAACCTGAAACCCGAGACGCTACACTGTTCATGTGGTTGCTGTTAGTGTCACATAGACTGGCCACTCGAAGCCTGCGAGCGATCTCCGGCAGCGGAGACCTTAAGGGAGCTCTTTATGCGTCCTCAGAGCCCAATCCCCCCAAAACCTAAACCGTACACCCTAAACCCAAAACCGATTTCAGCCCAGGTGGGTGTGTACCCGCATCACGGCGCTTTGGCTGCATGGAGTTCCGATCGACTCGGAAGCAGAAAGATGAATTCCACAGCCTTTGATCAGTAGAAAGGAGGCTTGGGCTTGGGTTTGCAGTGAGAGTTATAAGGGTTTGGTTTGTTTACATATGGGGGCCTTGCCAAGGTTTTGGGGTCCTTGATAGTCTCATCAGAGCCAGGAACCCGTGGCATCCAGGATTCTTGGTGGTGAAGACCTTGGTCCTCAATCTCAGCCGCCAACCCGTCCTACTGCCCCATGAGGCCCAGCACCCCGGACTCTCATCATAAGCCGAAGCACGACCCTGAAATATAGGGCCCCAGATAATTACTAATACTATTGTGGGGTTCCTTATTATAAGTATAGTATAATGGGCCTCAAAACCCTATTCTAAATATTAGGGCGCTGACATTAAACTCTAAACACGAGGTTGATGCCACTTCAAAGTCGACCCATGGCTAGACGTCGATTGGAGTAGGATGAGGTTTGGGGCCGAGTGTCCTAAATCGGAAATCCAAAAGCCCGAAGCTCCACTGCTTTAGGCAGCGATTGGGAGGCACTGGAGCTTCCGGACACCGCCAGCAAAGCCGAAATAAAGGCACGCACGATGCCGTTGCGTTTTCAATTTCCGGCGGCAGCACTTCGTCCTCGTCCAGCAGCAGCCGCCGTAGTAGAAGTGGTGCAAGTTGTGGTTGTGGTGGTGGTGGTGGTGCTGGTGGTGTTTTTTGGTGGTGGTCTATTATATATCTATATATATATATATACACACATACATACATACATGACGAAAGTCCGCGCTGCCAGCTGGCAAGTAGTTCCGTTTTGAGCCGGCCACAACCCCCTCCATGTCCCAATCTATAACGTGCAGTCCAAGCCTTCACTCCTAGAGCATCCCAGCCGTATTCTGAATGCACAGGCGCAATATCGGAAGCTGTCCATTCGCTACCATCCCGACAAGTGCAAGGAGGAGGGTGCCACCGTTAAGATTTCGTCGACTCTGGCGGGGGTTACCTAGTGTTCAGATTCAAACGAGTGGATACTCCTTGGATGGCTAGAGTTACTGTAGCACAGAACCCTTAATGGTCAAGCATAGCACTGTGGATCCAAGAGGTCATGGTGCTGAAACAACATGCTGTCCGCATCTACCCCCAGACACCATCACAAACCCCGAACCCCCAAGATCTAAGCGCTAAGCTGATGTTCTTCTGAGCTTTTGGTGGTTTAGGGTTTAGGGTCTTGTTTTGGCGCTGCAAAGCCCTAAGCCACGAACCCTTACGAAGCGAAGTGTGACCAGTAATTGACTACTACATGACTATCTGTTCGCATCGCTGGCTGGCCCCAGCAGAACCACAATCTACGCGGAATCGGCCCTAAATCGTCAAGTCCTGATGGCAATTTCAGAAAAACATGATACACCAAACTATGTTGACGGCTTTAAGTCTCAAACCCTAAACTAAACCCTAAACCCTAAACCGTAACCAACTCCTCGCAACGAGGCCCTTACGTTAAGTTTCCGAGCCACAAAGTCAGTGAAAGGAAGGAGCTCAGAAGCGCTTCGCCCGCATTGCAGAGGCCTACGATGCGCTGAAGGCAGTGCCGGGTTTAGGGTTTAGGGTTTCGGGTGCGGCTTTGGTTGTTTCGGTGTAAAGGGTTTAGGGCTTTCGGGATTGAGGCTTCAGGCGTTTGCCCAAAAAAGCGCAGGACACAGATGGCCAACTGGCTTTCCCCTGGGACGAGCATCCGGAGCGCCAGCAGCGGATGGCAGGACTGTGCTTCGAAAGGTGAGTGATTTGCGTGTTTCTTATTTGTTGTTGGGGGCTTTACGGGATTTTGCAGCGGATCTTTTGGGCATTTGGGGCTTTGACGGACTCTTTGTCTGCAGGATCACCCGGCAGGCTTGACGGGGAACCCATCGCACGTCAGTTGCCAACTCCTTCCTTCTCTGCTCCCTAGACATCTTGACTTCGCCGGAAAAAACTGTCCTTCCAAGTTGTCCTTCCACGCATCCCCGAAATAGTGTTACCCATAGGCTCCATAGTGGCTCCTTTTTGGGATTACCTTCTACGATCCTAACTCTGAACCCACAAAAAGGAGCTACAATATGGCTAACAGCTAGACACTCAGCTCGGCCAAGTCAACTCAGAGCCCCAGGCTCTGGCTGATGAGAGCAAAACCCTCCTTGAAGCCGTCAGCTCCAAAGCCGAACGTTAAACCCCTAAGCTCCATAAAAGTATCCGTCTGGTAGTCTTTGCAACAACCCTTACTATGGTATCCCTTAATTAAATAAGAACCCCTATAGAATCCTTCTTGGAAGAACTGCCAAGCGTGCAAAGTCGCCTTAAAGCCCCGAGCTGCGCCAGGGAGTGACCTGATCAAGACACTGGGCTTTCTGGGCGCCGAGGTGCTGGGGCGGGGCAACAGCGGGTTTAGGGGGTTTGGGGTTTAGGGTTTAGGGTTTAGGGACGGTTCCAGAATCGGTTTTGGGAATCAGGGTTTGGCGCCCCTGGAGCATTCAACGAGGATGTGGCTCAACGGGCATGGTTTGTGCGCTATCTCATTCAGCAAGCTTGAACACTAGATACTTGCAGTGCGAGTCTAGAGACTGTGTACATTAGTCATCTCGATGATCGTATGACTCGCAATGTAATGGCGGCTTCCAACAGTTGGGCAAAGTGAGTGAATTATACTACCGATGGGACGGTAGTGCATGAGTTGTACTCAGTAATAGCTTGTCTTGCTGAACGCCCAGTATATACCGGCAATGTTGCCAGCAGCAATCAACATTGAATCATAATAGAAGTATAGTGACGGCAAGAAAGCAGCCTAAAGCCCTAAGCCTAATTAAGCCGATCATTTCGAATCCTTAACCTTGAACTTTAAAAACTTCTAAGCCTGAACCCAGGCCCAACAGTTGAGAATTATGAGAACGTTGTGGGTATCTTTCTCACCACAACCTTTGCAAGCAAGGCAGCTCAGACGGATCCGATCAAAGCCCAGTTCATGCAGCGGCTTGGTGCTGAAAGGAGAGTCAACTGGAACTCGGACCCTGGATTCTGAAAAGCTTTTGCCCGAAAGAGACCTGAGAAGATGAAGTTGGGCAGTTTGGGTTCTTCAGCGGGAAGCGTCCCCCCTAAACCCTAAACCCAAAACCCTAAACTTTATAAGCCCAAACCCTAAGGTTTGTTGCAGAGAGGCGTCTGTGGGTTCTTTCTTTTTTTCGTGCGGAGACGTGCAGGGGACGGCCTCGACAGTGCCGAAGCATTCGTCCGACTCTTCCATCATGGCCGCGGGTTTAGGGTTTAGGGCTTAATGTAGGGGCCTTAAGAATTACCAAGACTATTGTGGGGGTTCCTTAATATAATTTTGGTATAATGTACCCCAAGACCCTATTCTAGTTTTTCCCTGCTTACTAAGTCCCATGATGCTTTAAGCAGGAGGGCAGCCTCGAGGTTGGGCCTTGTGGAAGTGTGGAAGCAAGCCCTTGAAACAGGTCTTGCGAGAGGCGCTGGTGGAAGCTGAGGGTGAGCAGAGAACTCCAAGATATCATCGTCTCATGCTCCAAGCTACGAAAATGCGCAATGTCATTCGTGACACTGGATTGTTTCGATTTGTTGAGCCCCGCCAGGGCACCACCCAGCATTGAAGAAGTTGAGCCCACCATGGAGATTTGAAGGTCATGCCTTTTGTTTCGGGATTCCAGCTGGCATTGCTGTGCTGGTGGCAAAACCGCAAAGCCCCAGAAGTAGCTTTACCCGAAAGCCTAAACACAAGTCTTGAAATCCTGACTTTTCCCTAAGACTGCAAAGCCCAAGTCTACCCGAAACCTCGAAGAAAGCCAGCTCTACCCTAGACCCTGTCATAACTACAGCCGTAGAACCCTTATTTAACGTACTTGACAGAACCCCTTTAGCAGATGCCTGATACCTCACTAAGATGCTCTTTAGAGTGGAGCACGGATTGACATCCCCTCTGAAGCCGCCAGAACAGCCCCCAAGGCAGGTGGTCAAGGAAGCCACTGAGTGTCGAGCCCAGGTGGCAATCTGGTGTTTTTTTTTTTTTTTTTATGCGTTTCAGTTAGGATTCTAGGTTTGTGGGTGTTGGGGGGTAAGGGTTTCAAAGGTTTGGGCGATGCTTGTTCAATCATAGCTGACAGATCCCTACATACGGATCCGTCTATTTATGTAGGTGGCAGTCGGGATACCTCAAAGGCTTGTTAGAATGTTAATGTTTACGGCGATTTTGGAGCTCGTTTCTTGCTGTCGTAGACAGTAAAGGCGGTTCTTCGACCCTCAACTCCCCAAACCCTATGTTCACCAGAGAGTCACCAGAGTTCAAGCGAAACTTTACGCCCTGAGCCCAAAATCCATTAACCCTAACCCAATCTAAACGAGTTATGTTCATGAGTACTTCGGGGGGTAGTGAGAGATCCCAGGAGTTCTCCTCTTTGAGAAGGAGACGCAGGAGGCCGAGCGACATATGCAGGACTCCGAGAGCGGGGTTGGGTTGAGGCTTTGGGGTTCAGGGTGTAGTGGTAGGGTAGTATAGGGCTTTATAGGGTTTAGGGTTTAAGGGTTCTTGTAGCTTCGGGCAATGCTTGGGGTTTTGAGCGGGGGTGGAGTCGAACGGAAGCTTACGGAGGGGTTTGGAAGTGGGGTTGTGGCTATATCTCCGCATGCATACCCTGCCACCCTGGAGATTCACCATGAACACCTGTGCTGTGAAGCTTGCACTCTGAACGTCTCAGAACGAAAGACCCCGGCGCTCTCGATGTATAAAGTTTAGGGTTTAGGGTTTAGGGTGCAGTATGCATGAGGAGGGAACTGACCACTCTCAGGTACACCGTCCCTCGCACAGTAGACTCTACGAGCTCTATTTTCAAGGTGGCGTGTAGCGGTTCGCAGTCGTCGACGCCGCCATACGGATTGTATTCCGGGCAATGATGCTGCGAGACATGTACAAGTCAGACTACATAGCAGAGCATATATGCACACACCATTCTAATGCTGGAAATAAACCCTATTCCCCATGGTGACTTGTTGCGAGGTGGAAAAAGGCCTTCAAAAAACAAAGACCTATTCCCCAAGACCTCTCGCAGCTGCAGCACGCTCTTTCCTGAGAGTCGCGGCTCGGCTCCAGGAGACTTGGGCGGATGCGCTCTGCGTGGATGAGCGCAGCGGTGCGAACCACCTGGTGAAGGCTTTGCGTCTCAATTACTTGAAGGATCATGGGACTTAGTAAGTAAGGTTACAAGTCCCTAATTGGGGTTATAAGTATAGTTACCTTAGATATAACCCTACTTACTAAGTCCCATGATCCTTTAAGTAGATCACTGGGCCCCAAGGAAAGGTCTGCACAGCCCCAAGTCGAGCAAGCCATGGACGAAGCGCCCCAAGCCGGGTAAATGCTTTACTATAGGGGTCCAAATAATTACCTCTATATTTTGGGGGCTCCATATTATGATTGCAGTAAAATATACCCCAGAACCCTATTCTGATTATTAAGGCCCCTACATTACGGTCTCTACAAACCTTTTCAAGACATAGCAGGCTCGACAGTCACGCCCTGTGCCGAAGAAGTGAGAGCTTTTCTTTGCAATCGAAAGCTGTAGCACAGGCCTCCTAAACAAGCCGAAGGAATAGCAAAAGCTGCATGTAGAGAAAAATGCAAGGCTGGAGATCTTGCAAAAGCTCCCTCATCCCAGCACCGAGATGCCGCAAGCATGCAATCCCAAGCCCTTATAAACCCTAAAACCCTGAACCCCCAACCCCTATAAACCCCAGATCAGGTCTACCGACGCATCGTGACGTTCGCCGAGTCAGCGCTCTCGGCCGCCAAAGCAGACATGGAGGAGGTGGACGACCCTTGGGCCCGAATGTCGACAAAGATGAATGGATGGTGGACGGCTCTCTCAGGAAGGAGAGTGAGAACCGCACTGATACTGGTAGACACGGCAGCCTCTACAACAGTTCTGCAACCCTAGCTGCAAGACTTGTAACCGCTAAGCTGCCGGCTCTTCACATTCCGCGTTTGTTTTTTTGTGTCGGCATGCCATCTGCGCATGGCTCTAAGGCTTAACTTCTAGCCTGTGAACGCTGGACGAAGCTCCAAGTCCAAACCCTGAAACCCTAAATTTCAGAACCCCAATCAGCCCAACCACAAAAGCAATGAACACGAAGCCCCCCCTAAACCCTAAACCCTAAACCCTAAACCGTTAAACCCTAAAAAACCCTAAACCCCTAAACCCAAAGCCCCTAAACCCTGAACCCGAGGATTAGACGTCGTTGGGAGCCGCTGGCATCCCCCGCAACCTGGCGCCGATGCGGAGCTCACGGAAGGAGGTTTTCAAGGCACCACGGCGCGAGAGGTGTAAGATTCATGGTGTTTAGGGTTCAGGGCTTGTAGGGTTGAGGGTTTAGGGGTTTAGGGTTTACAGGGTTCAGGGTTGATAGGGTTTAGGGTATACAACCAAACGGGAGAAAATACAACCACAAGGTGGAAAACACAACTGAACCACCGTTGTGGGCTGGCCCAAACGGGAGAAACTACAGCTGGCTATTGCGGTGCCTTTATACTTGGAGGTTCATGGATAGTTATAAGTGGAGTTATAAGTCCCCTAATATAGGTTATAATTATAGTTACCTTACTTATAACCCTACTTATAACTACCCATGAACCTCCAAGTAAGTTTGGACATGCCGCTCAGAAATCCGTGGCACAGCCTTGAGGTTTCATCACGAAAGCTGGATAATGGTGGTTGTGATTCGTTCCTGCTCTTTGCGCCCTAGCGCGAATGAGGACTGCACATGTTTATTTGGGTTTGTCTGCTTTTGGTCATGTAGGTGCGAAAGCCTTGCAGGCAATACTTAACATGATTATTTCGGCTTCTATGCCTTAGATCATGTAGGTACGAAAGGCATGTAGCCAATACTTAGCATGATCGTTTCGGTTTGTATGCTTTCAGCCATGTAGGTACGTAAGGCATGTAGGCAATAGTCAACATGAAAAAAATTCGGTTTGTAAGCTTTCGGTCATGTAGATGCGAAAGGCATGCAGGCAATATTTAACATGGAAAAAATATTTCGGTTTGTAAGCTTTCGGTCATGTAGGTGCGAAAGGCATGTAGGCAATGCTCAACATGATTATTTCGGTTTATTTTGGTTTGCATGTTTTTGATCATATCGGTGCGAAAGCCTTGCAAGCAATACTTAACATGCTTATTTCGGCTTGTATGCTTTCGGTAGGTGCGAAAGGCTTACAGGCAATACGTAACACGATTATTTCGGTTTGTATGTTTTTGGTCATGTAGGCGCGAAAGGCTTTATTATGACAACAAAAACTTACAACCCCCCAAAAAGCCGTGGTGACCTGGAACTTCCCTCTCAGCCACTTGGTTCGCATGAACGTCTGTGGTCTTGAGCTTACCATCTGGCCGGAAAGAGCGTGCCTTCAGCATATGATCCTGCACAGTGGCAGCTGGAGCACCGAAAGATTGGAAAAGCCTGGAGAGCTCCGTCCCCAAGGTTACGCTAACATCTTCGACGAAGATCTTGCTGACGGGATCTGTGGTTTTCAAAATTGACCGCCCATCCGCAGAGACACTGTGCAGATCACAAACATTGTAGACAGTTCTTGTCTCGGACCCTTCCGCATCTACTTCGCTAGGCACCGTTTGCGGTCGTTAGGCACCGTTTGCGGTGCGGCATCCCATGTCGTCTTGCGACGGCAACGTATATGTGTTGGGGTAAGTCTTGCAGGGTCTGCCGGGCTAATCTGCAAGGGGAGCGCTGTGGCACAGGAAGGCCTCATAGTTTTCTTCCCTGCGTGTCGTGTCGGTAAGCAATCGCTCGCGAAGCTTGCATAAGAAACAATAGGTACGATAATTATCCTAGATCTTTTAGCGGTACAAGCACGCACCCGTCGCCGGCTAGGTTTGCATGAAGCTCCACCCAAAATCCTTAGCCCCAAGCCGTCTAGTCTCAACGTCGTTGTCTAGGCCACAGGTTTCAGGAAGTGGGGACTCCCAAGTCCCTGGTTCGGGTTTAGGGTTTAGGGTTTAGGGTTTAGGGTTTAGGGTTTAGGGTTTAGGGTTTAGGGTTCCAGGTGTAGGCTGTCCCATGACCTGACCCACTACGCCATATCCGCAGGTGGCACAGTGCGGAGTCCTGCAAGCGAAGGACTCGCCCGTGCAGTTGTGATTGAGCTTTCAGGGTTGAGTCAGAGGGTTTGCCCTAGTGCCCCCGACTGTTGGTAGTTCGGGTGGATCTTTCTCCGAACACTCCTGCTTACAGCAAGGTGATATTGATTGCACACCTTGTACACCTGACGATTTAGAAGTTGCGGAAAGACAGAAGCGAGATTGCTAGCTATGCCTCGTCCGATCTCTGCATTGAACAGGAACTGAAGGTATTCCGAACCTGAACCAGCGCCTGAACCGAATGCCTAAAACAAATCCCTAAACTTTAGCCAGGACTTTCTCTGCCTCGCCGCATGCAGTGCTCCAGGTGTGGACCGAACGGCGGGAGAGAAAAGAATCCCAAGCACGGGTAGGAACATTCGTTATGGGGTTTTGTGCTGGGTATGACAGCAAATGTTGTGCGGTGGAGGGATCACTGAAAGGGCTCATGGCGAGGAGAAAAGATGGGTGAATGGGGCTTTAAGCAAGTACGTACGAGGCCGTAAATATGTATAGCTGTTGCTGCTGTGCCTCCAAGCCTACTCATATCTGCCGTTATCTGCCCAGCAGCCCAAAACCCGAAGCTCAATTGCTCGAGATGAATGCCCAGAGCCCTGAATTCCAATAAAAGTCCCAAGTCCATAAGGCAAAGGCATCCGGGTTGGTGGTTCTAGCCAGGGGATTTTCGAGCCTAAGCCCTACACAGTAAACCTTCAACCCTACACTGTAGAATGAACCCGCTAAACCCTAAACCCTGAACCCTAAACCCTAAACCCCTAAACCCCTAAACCCCTAAACCCCTAAAGCCTAAACCCTAAACGCCCTAAACCCGAAGCCCTAAATCCTGATGTCAGGCCGGCAGCTTGTTGGGGATATTCCTGGAGCTTGGGTCGTTAGGAACTGCCGACCAGAGTTTTGTCTGAGAAACAGGCATGTTTATCGGTTGCATAGGCGTTTCTACATGTAGGAGGTTCCAAGACAGTTAGACTAGCCGATTTAAGGGTCTTTCAACTACAGTAGAAGCCCAAAAGTTGGAAACCCAATAGCCTCAATCCTTAAGAGTAATGTATAGGGAATCCCAGCACTAATTGTCCTTAATCCGGTTTCCAACTTTTTGGGGTTTACTATATGGATACTTCATACCCACGCTCCTTTTTTCCAGAGTTTCTTTTCTTCAAAGAGCCTCCCAGGCCAGGAGGAGGAGCTTCCGAAGGAGGGAGGTTCAGGAGAGCTTCGGGGGTCTATTGAGGAAACCCTAAACCCTAAACCCTAAACCGAAGCCCTAAACCCTAAACCGTAAACCCTAAACCCTACACCGAAACCCTAAACCCTAAACCCTAAACCCTAAACCCTAAAGCCTAAACCCTAAACCCTAAACCCACAACCCGGAGCCGTCGAAAAGACGCCCGAAACCTTCAGCCAAACCTTTTCAGCCTCGAAGGCCTCGACGAAAAGGCTCGAAAACCTGAGCCGGCCGATGAATTCCGTAGAGGCCTCAAATGCGCCTGAGCCCTCAATTCAACGAGGCCCTCAACACACCGCAGGCCCTAAGCCCTGAACCCTAAACCTGAAACCCTAAACCTTAAACGTTTTAAGTTTTAAACCTCCCCCCGGCATGCAGGCCCAAAGCTCCTGAAGCCCTAGCTGCCCGAGCATTCACGACACGCCCTGTATAGTAGAATATAGGATAGTATAGTATGGTATAGTCTAGTATAGTATAGTATAGTATGGTATAGTATAGTATAGTATAGTGTAGTAGTGTAAAGCATGGTCAATATACCATAACCTAGTATAAAATACCCCTCACGGCCCAATCAAGCTTCCTGAGGCGGTGCGTCCCAGGCGCTCGCGGCAGATGACCGGGGCCCAGGAAGTCAGTGGGGGTTCATAAACCCTAAACCCTAAACCAAATTCTGGGTTTCAAGCTTTTGTGTCTTCTTGCATGCTTCAGGACAGGTAGTTGTACCATCATCGCGATTGTTTCTTTTGCTCACGGTTATTTGTTCATCCCCATTACAGTCGTGCAGGGGCATTGGCCCTAACATGTACCGTGTGGGTACATGAGCCGTTAGGGTTTGGATTTCTTGCACATTGTCATGAAACCGTCATGGTTAGGGTTAAGCCTTATCAGCATTACTATTACTGCTATTATTACTATTACTATTACTATTCCTATTGCTGTTGCTATTACTATTACTATTACTATTACTATTACTATTACTATTACTATTACTATTACTATTACTATTACTATTACTATTACTATCGTTAGTAGTACTACTACTACTACTACTACTACTACTACTATTACTATATCTATATCACTATTACTATTACTATATTACGATGACTATTACTACTACTGTTACTAGTACTATATTACTATCACGATTACTATTACTATTTACGATTACTGTCCAAAGAACCTCCTGCCCAGGCCTTGAGGCTGTCGCTTCGGGCCCTCAGAACACACCGTGCCAGCGCATCCGTGCGCACCGGGTGCAAAGAGACTTCGGGGGGTTCGATTAGGGTTTAGGGATATGGGGGATTTGGGTTTGGGATTTGGGGAATAAGGTTTGGGATTTGGGGTTTAGGGTTGAGGGGCCATTGGGGTTTAGGGTTGGGGGTCTGGGATTTGGTGTTTTAGGGTGTAGGGTTGAGGCAGGGGGGGGGGTCCCTGATTGTGGGTCCGAGCCGATACCCCAAACCCCGAGCCCACACGGGATCCCTGAGAAAATTCTTTCAAGTGGGGGTGTCGAACTCTGGAGAGCGAGGTCAAAGCCCGCGGTCTCGCACTCTCCTAGAGGGTGTAGGGTTTGGGCTTTAGATAGAGTCCTAAACCCTAAACCCTGAACAGAGTCAGGGTCAGAGTCCAGGATCCATGGCTGGCTTTGCAGCCTTTACGATGGTGTTTAGCAGTGAGATTGTTGGCGTCAAGATAGGGGTCTTAATAATTAGAATAGGGTTTGGGGTGCATCCTAGTATGATTATCGTGAGGAGCCCCCAAGATACTTTCGGTGATTATTGAGGCCCCTGTATTAGGCTGCAGGGAGCGGGACAGCAAGCTTGCAATTGACAGGACCTCGGCATCTTCCTGCAGTG